CTTCCCCCTAGCACCAATGATGCACCCCCTCTTCAAAATCTACTCTCCCTGGGCAGTGTTTGCCAGCCAGATACTAGCCTCTCCCACCGATCTTGGTGAGATTAAACTGTTTGTCTTTTGCTACAACTTTAGGCAGGCTGCTCCCTGCTTACTCTGGTTAATCTGATAAAGAGGCTGTGATAAGGATTGAGGCGCATAATGCTCTTACATGAGCAAAGTACTATCTTTTAACACATCAGTGGTTCATTGTAGCATTCCTAAAATATGCTTGTTCTGTGTGATATTAGTGGTATTGGAAAAAACAAACAAAAAACCCAACAATGTAAGAGGCCAAGCGAGAGTATCGATGACACAGACACCAGATTGCTTTTTATTTTTCTTCTGGCAGAAGTCATTCCATGTAGTCTGGGCCAAACTTACTTGACTCTAGAAACCCTGCGGTCCCCAGAAAAGTTCTTAGCATTGCCCAGAAATTGCCGTCAGTGCCCTTACACCATATATACTTGTCCTGGAGTCTTCTGAGAATAGAGATATTTACCTCACCCTACCATTAAGTGGTGACTCTATAAGGGGGGATTTTATTCACCCTGGTAGGCAGATGAAGAAAATCACTTGGGATTGGTAATTTCTTACAGGATCCCCAAATTGCATTACATAAGAAAAATGGTCTATAATCTCGATCAAAGAGACATCAGAGCAACTGCTAAATATTTTACTATTTTTGGTTTAATTATTTTCAAATGACTCATGTTTTTCCTGCCAAATTGTATAGACTTTTAGAAACAGGCCCCTTGAGTTTCTGAACGTATAAGAAGAAAAGTAAAATGTTCCTTGGGGGACAAGTATAGGTACTGAAAACAATATGCAAACTAACTGCTATGCTTGTAACAGAGGACTGGGAAGGAGAATTTTGAACAGCTTTTTGAAGAAAAAGGAAGGCGTGGGAACATCACGGAAGAGAATAGTAGACGTGTTCATGGAGATGAACAAGCATTGATAGTAGCAGGAAGCACGATTAGTTAGAACAGTCATTCTTTTTCAGAGGAATAGGGGTTTATGGACAAGTGGAATGTTTAAAAGAAACAACTTAGAATTAATATGCTTAGAGTTAATATGAGCAGCTTAGAGTTAGGAGAGTTAAGAAACATCTACTTCAGGGACTGGAGAACCCAAAAAGGAGAGTCATTGCAAACCTATGCTGACATGTTGCAGGATGTCTTTGAGATATTTTCTTTCTGAAATTCTCTCCCCCTTTGTTTTTGGGACACCTATCTCCTAGTCTTCTTCCCTAATTTTCTTGGTGCTGATGATCCTCTATTATTAACAAACAAGTAAAGTAATTATTCATAGTTCTAGCTAACAACTACATGGGTTACTATGTACTGAGAATTGTGACTAGCATTTTCTTATCTCCTTTAATGCACTAAACTTTGTCAAGTAGATATTCTTATCATCTTCATGAAAATGAGAAAACTGGCCTTGGTGGTGCAAGAGGTTAAGCACAGCACTGTGAAGCTGTCTGCAGCCTCTGCAGCACAAGTGCAATCCTAGGCCAGAAAGAGAGCAACCCACATGGCACAGCAGACCTCTCCTGTCTCGCCTGCTGCTCCCCTCAGCAGTGTATTTCAGTCATTCTGCCTGTTCTGGTCCCCACTCTGTCTCTGGTGAATCCTCTCATTTCCAGCACCCCCCACCCAGACCTCTGGCCTGTACCCCGGTTCTTGTATGCATAAATAAATAAATCTTTTAAAAAAAAAAAGAAAAAGAAAATGAGAAAATTAAAACCTGGTAGTGGGTAAGTTGTCACAGAGATAGTAGACTGTGGAATCCAAGTACATATTCTTGATCACTGTCCATGGAGCTTACCACTAAAATTTTGGCATTAGTCAGAGTTCTGGTCTTCATCCCTTTCTTCTCCGGGTCAAATTATTGCATTTACATCTTTAAGTTTTCCTTACAGATTTGTACGCTTGATGGTGTAGCTATCCTTCCAGCTTTCTTGATGGGCCTTTAAAACTATTGAATTTCCAAAGTAGAGACTCAACTCAATGAACCAAATATTGATACTGGTTTTCTTCTCATTGGGTCCCATCAGATGGTACATAATTTCAATTTGTTTCATTTCTAGTGGCCCTTGGTCACTTAAGATGCTGTCTGCCAGACTTCTCCCCTGAAAATTGACTCTAATTCCCTTTGTAATTAACAAGACTTTTTTTTTTTGGGGGGGGTTGATATTTTGAAACTATGTACATATTCTAATCTGTTTGAAACTTTCAATTTATATATTTTACATTATTGTCATTTTTAGAATACATTATTTGTCATTTTTATTACTGTCATATTAAAGTTCAGTTTGTTCCAGATCTGGCCAATGGGAGACAAGCTGGCCTATGGTCTTTTGATATGCACTCTTATTCTTGGAGCACGTCCTTATTTTCTGGTATAGTTAGAGACTCCAGGCTCATCTCCTACTTCTCTTCTCCAGTCCTGGAATTAGTCATTTTGCCAAGAAGAAAAATGAAGAGGTGAATCGTATTTAGAAGTCAAGCTCTGGGCTAGATGTATTCTCTGTGTTGTTGTGTCACTACTCCCAGATCCTCTCAGTGGACAGAGCATGTGTGTACTTACACACCTGCACCTATATTTATATATATATATAAAAAACCCCACCAATATCTTCATTACCAGTTCACCACCAAAAGGTTCATCCTAGTTTTATTCCCATTATTTATTTATTTATTTTTTTTTTATTTATTTATTTATTCATTTGTTTGTTTTTTTGTTTTGTTTATACATGCACTGGGTACAGTCAGAAGCGCGGGAGGGTGAGAGAATTCACCAGAGCCAGAGCGGGGAGCAGAGCAGGCAGAAGGACCGAAGTACAGTGCTGAGGGGAGCAGCGGGCGGCAGGAGAGGTCTGCGCGCCATGTGGGACCCTCCTCCGGTGGCCGGGGAGCAGCCGGGGATCGAACCGGCGCTGCAGAGGCTGCTGGCAGCTTCGCAACCCAGCGCTCAACCGCTGCGCCACCGGGGAGGCCCTATTCCCATTATTTATAATCCACTTCTTCAACAGTGAGAAACCAGGCTCTTGCTTTATTTTTTCAACTGGCTCCCATTAGAAAATATGTATTTATTTATTGATAAATGTTCTTGTACATGCCAATCCCCCATCACTGCTGCTGCCCGGCTGCCCTCTTCACTCTGTGGTGCTGACATCTGAAAGCCAGGTGCCCCCCACCCCCACCCCAGCAGGGGGAGAACACCCCATCCCAGGCTGCTGCCCTGTGTGGATGCCCCTCTCACCCTGACTGTCTCCCCTTCCCTGACACACTGTTGCGCGTGGCACCCCCCGCCCCCATTCTCTACAATGTACTTTTAAAAATACATACTCTCTCATGCTGGTTATAAAACCTCTGAGCAGTTAAGGAAGGTATTAGCCACAAGTTTTCTTTAAACAGATCCTCAAGATCTAGTTCAGGAGAAATGGAGCGATTTGCCCGCCACTGGATGGCTGAGAGAAAGCCGGCTCTGGATGGAGAACGCTTTCCGCTCCACCAATCCACCAGGACTCCGAACACACGCCAAGGTCACAGTAACTTTTCTTTATTCTCCAGGAGAAATGTTTCCAACTGATTCACTTTGTGGTCTCCTATGATTGCCAGGTGTTTCTTTTCCTGACAAGCATGTGCTCGGCCCATGTTTGGTAGGAAAAAGGCTGGCTACAGAAGCAAGAAGTTTAAACTTTATTTCCAGCACAGCTCTCTGACACTTCAGGGGAACGACTCGCTTTCCTCAACGATAGAAGGTTAGCAATGAACAGCGATCATCGGCCTGGGGCTGGATGAGAAAAACCCGGAACGAAAATTACGCAGGGAGCTAGAACCCAGTGATCGCAATGCCTGCAAAATTCAGCTACGAATATCTGAATCAATAATCCTTAATCCGCAGAGACAGGATGCCGAGGCAGTCTCTCTAACCATTATTTGTTAGCTGTTTTAATGCTTCCGTTACCAGGCTCATCCTTCATTCAAAAATATGTATTGTTATGTGCCAAGTCCGGCCAACCCGGTTTTTGTAGCATCCCTTTTCCTAGTCGTCGCCCCCCTGTAGGATATTCTCTCTTTCCCAAAGTTGGACTCGCAAGCCCCCGCGCCTGAGCCGTGCGATGACAAGAGCGCGAGGCTGCTCCCGGCCTCCCCCAGCCTCCCCCGCCGCGGGCCGGTGCCCCGGGGCTCCCAGACATTCGTGACCTCCTGGGACAGCCTCTCCACCCCGCGGTGGCTCCGCCGCGCTCTCCTTTCCCAGCTGGTGGCTGGGGGTGCGGCTGGGACGTTCCCGAAGTTTGCATGACCCCCCCCCTCCCGGGCAGGGCGCTGCGGGCCGGGACAGCCGCGCCTCCGACCCGCGGGGGTGGCGCGCGCGGAGCCGGGGCTCGATTCAGCCGCGCCGGGGGCGGCCCTGGCGGGGCTCTAAGTCCCGAGTCCCGGCCTCCGCGCCCCGCCGCCGCCGCCGCCGGCGCCGCGCTCCGCAGCGCAGCAACGTCCGGGCCGCCTCGGCGCTCGCTCCTCGGAGCCGAGCGCCCCCCGCGCCCCGCCGCGCCGCCCGCGCGTCCTCAGGGACCCCGCTCGCGCGCCCCGCAGCCGCCCCCCCACCCCGGCCCCGGCCCCGGCCCCGGCCCCGGCCCGGCCGACGCGAGGGACGCGGGGCGCGCGCGCCGGCGGCGGCGGCGGCTGACGTGCGCGAGACGCACGGCCCCGCGCCGAGCGCCGGAAGGACGCGCCCCGGCTCGCGCGTCGGGCGCGCGCCGCCTGCCCCCGCCCCGCCCGCCCCCCGCGGCCTCGCGCGCGCGCACTGGGGCGCTTCGCCGCCGCCGCCGTCGCCGCCGCCGGGGCTGCTGCTCCGGCTGCTGCGGGAGGCGGCGCTGGCTGGCGGCGGCGCGGCTCCAGGCGGCGAGCGGGGCCGCGAGCGGGCGGGCGGCGAGCGAGCGTGTGTGTTTAAAGATGGCCGGAGCGGCGGCGGCGGTGGCCGCGGGGGCAGCGGCGGGCGCCGCCGCGGCCGCCGGGTCGGTGGCGGCGCCGGGCCGGGCCTCGGCGCCCCCGCCGCCCCCGCCGGTGTACTGCGTGTGCCGGCAGCCGTACGACGTGAGCCGCTTCATGATCGAGTGCGACGTCTGCAAGGACTGGTTCCACGGCAGGTAAGGCGCCGCGGCCCCCGCCGCCCGCCCGCCCGCGCCCCCGCCCGCCCCCGCCCGCCCGGCCGGGGCCCCGCGCAGCCCGGCCCGGAGGGGCGCGCGGCGGCGGCTCGCGGCGGCGGCGGGGCCGGCGCTCCCGGCCGGCGAAGAGTCGCCACAACACCCGGGAACAAAGGGGGCGGCCGGGAAGTTGGCCGGGGACGGGGGACGCGGCGGGAGCAGCGCGGCCCGGCCCGCCGCCCCGGGTCGCGTCCGCCCCGCCCGCCCGCCCGCCGCGGGCTCCGGCTCCGGCTGCGGCTGCGGCTCCGGCTGGGACTCGCCGCCGCCGCCGCTGCCAGCCCCCCTCGGGGCGCCCGCCCGCCGCGGCCCGGGGCTCCCGGACGCCCGCCCCCGCCGGCCGTCGCGCCCCCTCGCCCGCGTCCTCAAACTTCCCGGGCGCGGGGCGCGGCGGAGTAAACAGAGCAACAGATGAGGCGCTCGGGGGGTCCGGGGATGCCGGGGGGAAGTTCGGGGCCCGGGCTCCCGGGCGGGGCGCTCGGGGGGGCCCGCCGCGCCCCCCCCCGCGGGGGCGGCGGACGGAGTGGGCGGCGGGCCGGGGCGGGGACCCCCGCGCGCCCCCGGCCCGCGCCGCCCCCGCGCCGCCGCCGCGCAAACTTTACAAAGAGTGAGGTGCCGGGTCCCCCCCGGGGCCGGCGCCCCCCGGCCGGCGCGGGGCTCTCGCGGGCGCCGGCGAACTTGGCCGGCCCGGGGGGACCGTGGGTCGGGCCCGGCCGCCGCCGGCCGCTCGGGTTTGACGTTTGCGAGCGCCGGGGCCGCCCCCGCCGCCAGGCCGCCGACTCGTGTGTTTTGTAATCAAAGTGTGAGGCTAATAAAGGGCGGCGCCACAGCCTCTTGACTCCGGCGTGGGAGGGATTCGCAGGCATTTAAACAAAGAAACTAGTTGGGGTTGGGCTCCCAAAGTCCTTATTTGGGCGCTGCGGCCCGGCCTGCGGTCACCTTTGGGTGCCGCAGGTTCCCGAGCGCCGGCCGGGGTGGCGTCGGGGCGCGGGGCGCTCCCGGGCGGGAGCTGATCTGGGGACTGGGATGGTGGGACGTGGCCTTTGATTGACAGCAGGACATTTAAATGCAGCCTCCGCTCCCCCTCCCCAATTTTACAGAAACGCTGCCCGACCAGGCCAGATGTCTTCGTCTCCCTCTGCTGGCCCTGGGAGAGAAAGCCTTTGACTTGACAGCCTTCTCGCGGCGCGGCGCGGCGGGCTGGGGAGAGTTAGTTTGACTTCGCTTTCAGTCTGCAAGTGCAGCTCGTTCCACTCAGTCAATTTTCAGGTTGGCCAGTTCGGACGGCAGCCCAGAGCGCAGGACGCACCGCAGTGTGGGGATAAAGGACGGGCAGCCTGCGTCTCCGATAATCCCGAACAGCTTGGTCTATGCTTGGGGAATAGTGTTACAGCCTCGCTACGTGTAATTAAGAATAAATTATCCAGCGTTCTTTTTTTTTTTTTTAACTCGCCAACCGAGGTTTTCCTGGAGGTAGATGATAGGTAAAATTAAAGTTTGGAGATACCAAGTCTTGCCGATTCTATTTCTGCATCCGTTGGAGCCCCTAACTACCCTATCAAGGCAGTCAGAATAGATGACCCAGAAATTTAGGTTACATATCGAATAAAACCAGAATTCCGCGTGGTTGTGTAGGTACTTGTTTTTTTATAAAACTGTTTTAGTTGGCTAAGAGTTTGCCCCATGGTGCAGTGTGCAGATTTGGTTAATTTTAGACTAGAATGTTATTTATCTTAATTTAGGTAACTTCACACTATAAGCATGACAAGCTGCCTGTAGTTTATAGAGGAGTTCGTAATTCCTTTCAGTATACAGTTGTAAACAGGAGAGGTTGAAAGGAAGCTAGGAGGGCGAGTGTCAGGAGGCCTCAGTAAGTTATGCTCTGCTTTTGTCACATAAGTTTCTGTGACTTCTCATCTGTAGCTGTCTCTGAAATACGATTATTTTGAACCTGGGGTTATTTTTGGCTAGTCGTTCTTGGGAATTTAATGGGATTCAGATGTCAAAAGTTAGAAAATGTGATAATGCCCGGCCATGCAAAAGCCGTATTTTATTAGCAAGTTTAATTCTTAGTGAAAGATTGCTAATTTGGGGTCTCTGTGTTTTCACAGGAAAACAATATTTCCTCTAATGTAATCAATATTTCCCCTAATGTTTATTGGCCCATGAAGTGAGTGAGTGGTTTTTTTGAGCACAGCGATATTTTGCTTATGTAATACTTAAACGTCATTTGCTTATGTGAGAACAGGCCCCTCAAGTACTAAGGTCTGTGTCTTTAATCCCCAAGCTCAGCTTGCCAGGGGTGGCCCATCTGTAGAGTACGAAGAGGGAGCAGGGGTGTGTGCGCAAAGAACTGCCTTTACCTGATCATTTTATTTTTTCAAGTCGAAGAATTCTTTAAAGTTAAGGATTCAGTGAATTTCAGTATAAATATGGGTTTACTCTGCCTGGAAATCTGAAAAGCTTTTGTCCTAATTTATCCCGACAGGTTAGAAGGCCTTTCCTTCCCTGATACTTTTCATCCAAGTTTGACGGCCTGGTAGAAGCAGCTTCCTCCCCTTTGAGGCTGCTGAACCGTGGCGCCTTGGATGGTCGGGAACTCCCAGCCTCAGTCTGCCTGAGCTTTTGGTTCCCGCAGTGAGAGGGAAAGAACGCTGCCAGGGCACCGTGTATAATTGGTGCCCTAGGGGAAGTGAGCTGAGGCTTTAACAGGATTTGCCTGGGAAGGTTCCTTCCAACCCAGAGCCGAGTTCTTCCTTCCTCGCTCAGTCAGTGCTGTTCTTGGAAGTGAGACAATAGAGATCTTTCCTGATAGTGCCCACCTGTAATCCCCAGTACGCTCATCTTATCCTAAGCATCCTGCACTGATGCCCTCATTCAGTGGTATTATAGTGTCTTTTGTCTCTCCGTTGGAATGTAAACAGCTCTGTTTATCAGTCTTTTTAATCGCCTATTCTTTGATTGACAAAAGCAAAATATCATAGAAAAATAAAAAGTACAGAAAACATGAATATACTATGCAAGTACTCATATCTTACAGTGATATTTGGACATTTTACTACTTTAGCCTTTTAAGGTATAAGTTTATTTTAAAAACAAAGTTGGAAATTGTTTTATGTATTAGTTACCTAACCTCTTTCATTCATGTATGCTTTTCCCTATATCTTCAATGTGCTTTTGAAAATATTTTCAGTGAGTGCATCATGTTTAATTTCACTGAAGTACAATACATTTTAAAATCATTTGCCTTGTTTACTGCTTTTTCTTGTATTTTGGAATGGTTGACATTCCTCTAAATGAGTTAAAACATGTAGGACTCACAACTTTAGAAGGATGGTATCGGTACCCAGTGTGTAAGTACTCCAGAAGACATTTCCTTGAAGTAGAAGTATTAGTCATGGGTGCAGATATTTTTAGGCTTCTTGTGCCTACTGCCAGATTGCCCTCCAGAAAGGTTATTGCAGTTTATGCTGCCACCAGCAGCGCCCACTTTCTAGTTCTCTGTATCGCACCAATCTCAGGTATTATTGCCCCTTCCCTAGCCCAGCCAAGCAAAAATTTTGCCAGTCTGTAGCTGTAGTTATGTGAATATTTGCACCGAAATACATACCCAACACTGTTCATGGTTGCATTATTCATATTATCCCCAAATTGGAACAGCCTGTCAGCAGCAGCAGATAGAAAATGTTGCGGGATGTTTTAAAATGGAATACTACTTGGTGATGAAAGAGCGGCTGCATCAGCATGCATGAGCCATGCGAGTGAATCTCAGAGCAGTGAAGTTGAACAAAAGATCAAATACAGGGGTAAATGGGTCTTAGAAGTCAGACAGGTGTTACCTCTGTGAGGGTATTGATTGAGAGGAAACCCAGCAGCTTCTGAGATCCGGGAACTGTCCCATGTCTTGATGTTAGGTGGTTGTTACAGGAGTGTGTGCAGATGGAAAATTCACTGAGCTGTCTGTGCTCTGATTTCAAAACTTTATTTTAATCTTTGAAGTGTGTTTCAATTATTTAAAAGTTTCAAAAATTAAAAAGTTGCCACTTCAGTGGCTGACAGAAGGTATTTTATAATTGTTTTGTTTTTTGTTCCTGACTTTAATAGGATTGCCTCTTGTATTTTATCACTAAGTATGACGCTGGCTGTGGCCCAGAGTTTGCAGTACACCCGGCACTGTTGTCAGTACTAGGAATATAGCCAGAACGAAACAGAGTCCTTGCCCTCTTACAATTTAAATTGAGCGGGGAAGATAATCAAAAGAATGTTACATGCTATGAAGAAAAATTGTTGGGGGGGAGAGAGAGGGGCCTAGGGGTCTACTTTCGTGTGGTGTGGCTGGACGGCCTTGAGGAGGCGGCGTTTGAACACGGCACATTTTGGGTTTTACTCGGAACAAATGGTGTATTTTGAGTGGAGGAGTAAACGATGTGACAACCTTTAAAAAGTTTTCTCTGGCCGCTGCTTGGGGAATAGACTGGAGGGAGGCCAAGAGGACAGGCAGACCAGTAAGGAGGCCGTTGTGATAACCCAGTGAAAGATGGCTGTAAAGGTTTCAGTCCTTTTTTGTAATTTACAAATGTCATACATTAATTTTTATTCCTGTAAAAGATTATTTTTATAATTGTCATTTTGGGACTAGAAAATTTTTCTCTGGAATAAATAATGCTACTGGGTGGGAGATTCTCAGGTACTTGCTCCAGAGTCCTGGGAACTCAGGCACTTACCGAATGCTGCATAGCAAGTGCTCGGCACTATTCTGATTGTGTCAGATGCAGTCATTACCTCTCCTCACCCCACGGTCACCTTGCTGGGTAAGTGGTAGTACTACCCCCATTTTATAGATGAGGAATTCTGAGGGTTAGAGATGACAGTGACTTTCCTGGGTCACAAAGCTAGAAGGTCCCAGCTCTGATGAGCTGGCTCCGGAGCTCCCCCTGTCGGTCCGT